CGAGTTCGATTCCGTTCAAGGGCAAGTACCTTGGTTGCGGGCACATCCCCAGTGGGGGGGGGGGGGGTGCAAGAGGCAGCTGGTCGATGTATCTCTCTCATCGACATTTCTAACTCTCTACCCCTCTCAATTCCTCTCTGTGTAAAAGTCAATAAAATAAATAAATAAATAAATAAATAAATAAATAAATAAATAAATAAATAAATGTCACTCCTCGGGAAAGCAGAGAGTGAGGGAGGAAGGAAGGGAACATTAACCCAGAAACTTATGAGCATAGTATATGCATGGCCCATGGACACAGACACTAGTGTGGTGAAGGCCCAGGAGGGGTGGGTACCGGGTAGAAGGGGACAATGGGGGGGTGAGGGGGGACAAAGAGGACATCTGTAACACTATAGCAATAAAGATACATTATTATTTTTTTACTTCTTAAAAATATATCTTTTATTGATTTCAGAGAGGAAGGGAGAGGAAAAGAGAGATAAAAATATCAATGATGAGCCCTCCCTGGTTTGGCTCAGTGGATAGAATGGTGGACTGAAGGGTCTTGGGTTTGATTCCTGCCAAGGGCCCATGCCTAGGTTGTGGGTTTGATCCCCAGTATAGGGTGTGCAGGAGGCAGTAAATAAATGATTCTCTCTCATCATTGATTTTATATATTCTAGTATATTTATTGATTTCAAAGAGGAAAGGAGAGATAGAAACATCAATGATGAGAAAGAATCATTGGTTGGCTGCCTCCTGCACACCCCACAATGGGGATCGAACCGGCAACCCAGGCATGTGCCCTGATGAGAAGTGAACTATGCATGACTTCCTGGTTCAATCACTAAGCCACACCAGTCAAGCTAAAGGTAATTTTTTTTTAAAGTCACTCCTCTATTCTGAACCTCTTAAGAACAGAATAAAATCCAAAAGCTGATATATAAATACACAAATGTCCAAAAGAATTTTATCGTGACAGAAACTAGTTTCTATAATAGTCTTTAGCAGAAATCTATAAGCATGTTGGACAGATTTGCCTCCAGGCAATTCTAAAACATTCAGATATGCTTAAACATTCCTTTTCATGAGGGGGTGGTGAGGGGTGGTCATCGATTTTAAGGAAACATAAAGTCTAAGCATTCAAGCTTTGAGAATTCACCATTATAATGAGACCATCATTCATATGAAACAAAAGCCAGGTTTTGGAATTACACCATCCAAGGTTCAAATTCTACCTCAGCCAACTACCCTGTTTCCCCAAAAATAAGATAGTGTCTTATATTAATTTTTTCTCCCAAAGTTGCGCTAGGTCTTATTTTCAGGGGATGTCTTATCTTTCCATGCGCTAGGTCTTGTTTTCAGAGGATGTCTTATTTTCGGGGAAACACGGTATGTCCATGAGCAAGTTACTTAACTGCTGAGTTTTGTTTCCCCTTCTGTAAAATTGGGATGTTTTACCTAGTGTTTCATGGATAAGGGGTAATATATAAGGCATATAAAAGTTCAATAAACTGTAGCAATTAACAAAACCCAACATCCTGGAGCTACTGGAGGGGGGCGGGGGATGAGGGGAGAATGGAGACAAAACGAAACATTGGGTACTTAAATAGAATGTGTTTAAAAAGCTGATACACAAAACAAATAAGACTAAAAGGTGAACTCTACATATACCCTAGAAGCAAGCAAATCCAACCAACTGGCCAAAAGAATGGTAGAGGGAGAAATGGGAGAATAAAATTTTCAAAAGTTCTGCTTCAAATATATTCAGTGGAGCACATTTCAAGTTCACCTAAGAGAAATATGGAGCAAAACTAAGTAGCAGCTCAACTACCCCTATAGCAGGGGTGGGAACCGTTTTTTCTGCCAAGGGCCATTTAGACATTTATAACAACATCTGCAGGCCACACAAAATTATCAACTTAAAAATTAGCCTGCTATGGATGGAACTGAAGAGCATTATGCTTATCGAAATCAGCCAGTCAGAGAAAGATAAATATCACATAATCTCACTTGTTTGTGGAATATAATGAACAACATAAACTGATGAACAAAAGCAGATCCAGAGACAGAGAAGCATCAATCAGACTGTCAAACCTCAGAAGGAAGGTAGGGGAGGATGGGGGTAAGGGGGAGAGATCAACCAAAGGACTTGTAGGCATGCATATAAGCCTAACCAATGGACATAGATACCAGGGAGGTGAGGGCATGAGTAGCGGAGGGGGAGAGGGGGGAGTGGGCAATGGGGAGATAAGGACACATTTGTAATACCTTAATCAATAAAGAAAAAAATAAAATAGTCTGCTATATTTGGTTAAATATTTAATTAATCAGCCCTAATGCCGTGGCAGGGCCTATAGGCCCCTCGGACATTCCTCACCCCTGCATTAAAGGGATAGTGAACTTCAGAGTTCTTCCCACCTCCAGGAGGAATTCTTTACTAGCAAAAGTAACTCTCTATTCCTGTCAGTATTGTCACACATTCAGCAGCACCTATTTTGTCAAGCACTATGCTAAGAACACACAACAAACAGACAAGGTGCAGTCTCTGCCAAAACACTGAAAGGAAGAAACAAGATAAGAAAAATCAAAGCTTAGATATTATACAGTTAATATATAACAAGTATATAACAGTAAACACAGTAACAACTTTCCTCTCAGCCTCTCCAATCTAAAATATGGCAGTGTAATCCCTCCCACCTCCTACATGAATGGCTCCCCATTGCAAAGAGCCAGACCATGTTGGGCCTTATAGACCATGCTGTTAGGTTTGGTCTTTATTTTTAAAAAGACCAAACCTAACAGCATGGTCTATAAGGCCCAACATAGTCTGGCTCTTTCCTACCTCTCCAGCACCAACCACTCTCTGTACCTGAGCTCAGAATTTTTTTCTCAGTTCTACCTTGTCATTCCCTCTGGCCACAGGATCTTTGCACATGCTGTTCTCGCACATATAACACTTATGTCTTCTATCTTAACCTAGAAAAGCCACTTTGTCCTTCAAAATCTGTTTCACTTTTCATTTCCAAAGGAAAACACTCCCTTACCTTAGGCAGTATAGTATTTCTAAGAGACAGGCTCTGGAGTTCTAGCTCTGACACGAGTGCTATAGTTTTGAGCAAGTTGCATAACACTGTGTGCCTCAATTTCTTCGTCTGTGTATGGGATTATATGGCAGTTGTGAGGACTGAATACATTGATTCAAGTAAAACATCATAACAGCCGGGACCGGTTTGGCTCAATGGATAGAGCGTCGGCTTGGGGACTGAAAGGTCCCGGGTTCGATTCCGGTCAAGGCCATGTACCTTGGTTGCGGGCATATCCCCAGTAGGGGGTGTGCAAGAAGCAGCTGATCGATGACTCTCTCTCATCGATGTTTCTAACTCTCTATCTCTCCCCCTTCCTCTCTGTACAAAATCAATAAAATATATTTTAAAAAATAAAAAATAAAAAATAATAAAAAAAATAAAAACATCATAACAGTATCTAGGATATACACTTCAATATCTCAACTTGGTCAAATCCCTTTGTTCTATTTTCTTATATTACCCTGACCTCTCCCCTACCTTTTTATACTTGTCTCTCCATAATGGATTAAAATTTCTATTAAAGTAGAAACTGCATGTTTTATCCTAGAGATAGAACAAAATAGTATTCAATAAAGATTTATTGGGGAGGGGGTAGCTAAAAGGAAGAAACTAAGGCCAACGAAGTGACTTGTCTCATTAATACCATTCAAAACTTGATCTACGTGACACCAATGCCCAGACTTTTTCACTGCACCATACTGCCTCCTATGTAAATACATAACAGTCTTGTAGCTGCTGGATGGGACCAAAAAAGATTAAAAGATTAAAAAACAAAATTACAAAACAATAAACTGTGTGCCAATATAAAGAACATTGTGTTGAGATTCTGAATTTGATACAAAGCTGATACAGGTGCAGGTTTACTTCCACTATCAAGAACAGCTCCAACTGGCACACTGCTCATCAGGATTTCCTCCCAGGTTGAGCAATGAGAGACTAGGATGGACCAGATGATCCCCAAAGTTTCTTCAATGACAATCAAGTTATGAGTCAGCTTTTAAAATACCGTTTAGAAGAAGTTTAACAAGCAGGCTGAACCAGGTGGCAGGTGGAAAACCTTCATGTTAAAGGATTTGTTCAAGTGACTTAATAAACCCCATTAACAAAGTCGGGAAGTCTTTGCTTAGAAATGATGAGACTCCATGTCGAGAAAAGTGTTGACAGCCACACACGAAAACACTCCGACGTAAGAATCAAGGCTGCCACTATGAAACCCTAGGATATACAGAATAGTGACAAAAAAAAAAAAAAAAAAAAGTGTTTAAAATGCATTCTAGAAAAGTGCCAAAGGCAGGCTGACCACGACATGGAAAAGAAAAACAATTTCACAGGCTGCATATATACTGTATACTGGGATGTCATACAACTAAAACAGGCTTTCAATCTCAAACGTAAAAGGCAGTAAGTAATCCTGACATCGTATGGCAGGCACTTCAAAAGTTGAGATAAACTTCCAACGCTAACTCTACTTCCACAGCAATCTACAGTGTCCCCTTCCCGCAGGGAAGAGGCAAGAGAACATGGAAACTGTTAAGGACCATTAAAAATGCACCCTGGAAAGCTCAATAACAACAAAAAAGCCAAAACCTTAGGGCCAAGGATCGGATGCACAGGAAATGCAGGTGCGCTCAGCCCGAGACCTGTCAGCCGCCCGAGAAAGCGAGCAGAAAGCACGCCTGCCGGCTGCCCGGCCCCTCTGCCCTCCACGACCCCGGGGGACCCGCCGCAGCAGGGACGCCGGCTCGGCCCGGCCCCCACGCGGAACCTGAAGGGGGAGGGAATTAGCACCCCGACCGGCCAGGAATCGGGGCCGCGGGGATCGCGGGGGCCACCGGGGCGCTTTCGGCCGCCCTGACCACGGCCGGGCGGAGCGGGCTGGGAGCCCGGGGGAAGCCCAGACCCGCGGGAAGCCCGGCCGCCGCTCCTCACCTGCAGGGTCCACAGCGCCGCGCTCCGCATCAGCTGCTGCGGCGACCGCTGCCCGCGCTGTCCCGCCGCGACCCGCGAGCCCACGCTCACCCAGAGCCCCGCCATTGTCGCGCCCCTGCCGACCGGCGCCGGGCTGACCTCTCACCTCGCCGAAGGGGGCGGAAAAGGGGAGCGCCTAGGCTTCGGCCAATCACCGGCCGGGGATCCGAGGCCCCGCCCCCGCCGCTCGGGAGGGGCGGGAGCAGCGCTGGGCCAACCACGGGAGCCCGGAGCGGGAGTCCTGGAGGATGCGCGCTGGGACCTGGAGGAGGTGCCCGGGCCGCCCCGGGCGTGCGGGGTCCGGGCGTGCAGGGCCCGGGCACCTGGCGTCAGTCTGCCTGCCCTCCTGAGCCCCGGGAGGGAGGGAGCGAAGCGGGGGAGACCCAGGAGTTCAGAACACTCTTCATGGGGTCACCCCGTACTGTCCCCCAGCATCCACTTAGCAACCAGCGTGCAGCCGGGTCGCCTCCGCCCCTGGCCACCCTGCAGTCCTGATTAGGGTTCTAATCTAAATGGCAGACTGACCTGAGCTCAAACTGTGTTCCTGTGTGTGTGAAAGCATAAAGGAAGGTTGTGGACTTGTGCGGTTATGGGGAGAACGCTCTAGGTCCAGGAATAGATCTGAGCTCTCCTCCCTCTGCCTCGGAATACTTGCAAAAGCGGGGGAATTAGTCATTAACTATTAGTGTATGTTGCTTGCAAGCGGACACCTTTATTAGTTCAACTGCTAAGGACCAGACCTATGCTAGATGTCTCAAATTCTGTCTCATTTAATCTTTACAAGAACCCTAACGGCCAAAAACAAAAACAAAAAAAAACTTCACCCTAATGGCCCAAACATCATTCCCATTCTGAGAAACTGAACTTAAAAGTCACTCATCTGGTAGATGGTGAAACTGGGATTCGAACCCCTGTTTATTTATTTTATTTTAGATGTTTTGTAACATACACCAAAGAGAGAGAAACCATATTATCATCACCCAGGCACACAGCTTCAAAAAATCAATATTTTGTCAATCTTGTTTCATCTATTCCCCCTTTTTTTGTTGTTGTATTTTAAAGCAAATCTCAAACATCATGTCATCTCACCTATAAATGGGGCAGAATTAGGAGCTCTGCTCTTAAGTACTTTGCTACAATTACAGAGTCACCTTGAATGAGTTACAAAGGTGGTAATGACCTTGAATGTGATACTGTATGGCAAATGCCAAAGGAGATATAAACAAAATGTTGGGGATATCAAAGCAGTGACATTTAGTGGGATTTAAAAGGGTAAGTATGGTAGGGACTTTCCTGACAGGCAAAATAAGAAGAAATATCCATTCCACAAGATTTCTCACTTTGGGATCTAGTATGCTGGACTCATTTCCTACCCAGAAAACCTGCTTTTCTTTTCTCTTTCTTTGGAAGTTACTGTGGTTTGTTTTGTTTTGTCTTTGTTACAGTATCCAAATCTGTGTCCTAACTAATAGGACATTCCTATGTATCTTTGTCCTCTTCATTTAAAGTTATAGGTTGTAAAGGAAAATAGCTAAGATACTTGAGGACGTGAAGGATTCAAACTCTCCAAACTTTTTAACTCTTCCTTCTGAGCACACTGCTAAGCAACATTTCCTAGCTTCCTGCATGGTTGGATGTGGCAATATACCTCCATTCTTAGAAGGAGCCCTAGTATCTCAATGACTCAGGAAAACAGATTCTTCTTGCCTTCCCACACTGAACGGTGACATGAGCAAGAAGTAAACTTTTTATTTTCTTAGGCCATCGTGATTTTGGGATTGCTACAGTAGTCTACCCAGCCTAATACAGTATCAGTAGAGAAAATTAAGTGGAGTAAAAAGGACTTTTGTATGTATCAGATGACAAATGGTAGTATTTAAGAATAAAAGAGCCCCAACCGGTTTGGCTCAGTGAATACAGCATCAGCCTAAGCAGCTGATCGATGTTATCTCTCATCGATGTTTCTAACTCTCTATTCCTCTCTCTTCCTGTAAAAAATCAATAAAATATATATTTAAAAAAAAAAAAAAGAGAGAGAGAGAGAGAGAGAGAGAGAGAGAGAGAGAGAGAGAGAGAGAGTAAAAGAGATTTGCCATTGTGGCTCGGTTGGTTGAGCATCATCAAAAGGTTGCATTTTCAATTCCTGGTCAGGGTGCATGCAGGAGGAGGCATGCAGGAGGCAGCCAGTTAATGTTTCTCTCACACATCAATGTTTCTCTCCCTTCCTCTTGCTCTAAAATCAGTAAAAACATATTTTTAAAAAGATTAAAGTAGATACTTTTTATGAAAAATAGAATAAAAAATATTTAACACTAAATTATATAATTCATAATTTTGACAATGAAGACCTACCTCTTCAAAAATCAGAGTGTTAAAATACTTTTCATGCCGGTTTGGTTCAGTGAATAGAGTGTAGGCCTGAGGACCAAAGGGTCCTGGATTTGATTCCGGTCAAGGGCATGTGTACCTTGATTGTAGGCTCCTCCCTGGTCTGGGCCCTGTTTGGGGCCCATGCAGAAGGCAACCAATCGATGTGTTTCTCTCACATTGATGTTTCTTTCTGTCTTTCCCTGTCTCTTCCACTCTCCCTAAAAATCAATGGAAAAATATCCTCAGGTAAGGATTAACAATCTATATATATATATTTTTTTTCACTATTACTATGAGTAAATTAGACTACTGCTTTAAAAAATTTGTCAGAATATCAACTCACAGCTGTCAAAATGGCTATCATCAGTAAATCCACAAACAACAAGTGTAGGTGAGCAATGGGAAAAAGGAAACCCTTGTGCACTGTTGGGATTATAAATTGGTGCAGCTATTAGAGGAAACAGTACGGAGGTTCCTCAAAAAAATAAAAAATGGAACTGCCTTATGACCCAGCAATTCCACTTCTGGGTACATATCTGAAGAAACCCAAGACACTAATTCTACAAGATACATGCACCTCTCTGTGCATTGCATAGTTATTTACAATAGCCAAAATACAGAAGCAACCTAAGTGTCTATTAATAGACAAGTTGATTTAAAAAAAAAAAAAAAAAAAAAAAAGTGGTGGTACAGCCCTAACCGGTTTGGCTCAGTGGTAGAGCGTCGGTCTGCGGACTGAAAGGTCCCAGGTTCGATTCCAGTCAGCGGCATGTATGTTGATTGCGGGCACATCCTCTGTAGGGGGTGTGCAAGAGGCAGCTGGTTGATGTTTCTCTCTCATCGACGTTTCTAGCTCTCTATCTCTCTCCCTTTCTCTTTGTAAAAAATCAATAAAATATATATATTTTTTTTAAAATCCCAGGTTTGATTCCAGTTTGTTTGGGGGCATATCCTCAGTAAGAGATAGGAAGCAGCTGATGAATGTGTCTTTCTCATCGGTGTTTCCAATGTTTCTCTCTCTTCCTCTCTGAAAAAAAAAAAAAATCAATAAAATACATTTTATAAACAGTGGTGGTACATACAATGAATATTAGTCAGCCATAAAAAAGAATGAAATCTTACCATTTGTGACAGAATGGATATATCTAGACAGAATAAAACAAATAGACAGAAAAAGACAAATGCCATAAGATTTCCCTTATATGCAGAATAGACAGAAAAAGACAAATGCCACAAGATTTCCCTTATATGCAGAATCTAAAGACCAAAATAAATGAACAAACACAACAGAAACAGACTCAGATACAGAGAACAAACTGATGGTTGCCAGTGGGGAGGGCAATTGAGGGCCTGGGTGAAAAAGGTAAAAGGATTAAGAAGTACAATATTCACAGGGATGAAGGTACAGCATAGGGAATGTGTTAAGTAATACTGTAAAAACTATGTGTGGTGCCAGGTGGGTACTTTAAATGTCACTGTAAATTATATGGTTGGCTAACCGCTATGATGTACACCAGACACTAATATAAAATAATATTAAATGTCAATCAAAATTGAAAAATAAAATTTTTAAAAATTATAGCTTTCACATGAAATTCCCAACTTTCTACTTCTCTTGAGATATCAAAAGATTTATCATTTCAGGGGTTCCCACCCCAAAACATTCAAAATCATCTTCCTTTGCCATACCTAGTCCTTTAGTATTATCTTTAGATGCTTGTGCTTTTTATCCCTATTTAATTATTTTGCTGTTGTTATTAATCCTCAGTTGAGGACATTTTTCTTTTTTCCTTTTAAATATATTTTATTGATTTCAGAGAGGAAGGGAAAGAGAGCTAGAAACATCAATGATGAGAGAGAATCATTGACCAGCTGCCTCCTGCAGGCCCTTTTCTAGGGACAGGGCCCACAACCTGGGCATGTGCCCCTGACTGGAATCAAATCTGGGACCTTTCAGTCTGCAGGCTGGCACTCCATCCACTGAGCCAAACTACCTAGGGCTGAGGACATTTTTCCATTAATGTTTAGAGAGGGAGAGTCAGAGAACTATGGATGTGAGAAAGAGTCACATCAATTGGTTATCTCCTGCACACACCCTGACCAGGGCAGGGGAACCTGCAACCAAGGTATGTGGCCTTAACTAGAATCGGACACAAGACCCTTCAGTCTGCACACCAACACTCTACCCACTGAGCCAAACCGGCTAGGGCTTTTATCCCTATTCTTTAGGTGGGAAACCTGAAGCATCTCAATCAGGGAAGTGATACTGTATTTGCATTTTAGAAAGTATTTTACATCATGGCTCAATGGATAGAGCGTTGGCCTGTGGACTGAAAAATTCCAGGTTTGCCGAAACTGGTTTGGCTCAGTGGTAGAGCGTCGGTCTGCAGACTGAAAGGTCCCAGGTTCGATTCCGGTCAGGGGCACGTACGTTGGTTGCGGGCACATCCCCGGTAGGGGGTGTGCAAGAGGCAGCTAGAATTATAAATACAAGCTTCTGAAGAATATGGAAAACTTTAAAATATGGGAAACCTCATATTATTGAAGAACACATACATAAGTAATAAAGGGATATAATAATGTATAGGGATGCTAATCTACAAATTTGAGAGACGTGTTGTCCCTCCTAAAGGAAGCTGTATTGCTTCTCTTGGGCTGCCTTAACAAGACACCATAGACTGAGTAGCTTAAACAAA